TTTTTTTTTTTTTTTGGAAAGACATATTATGTACTACATTTATTACAGATCATATAGGAAGTATATATTTTTTTTTCTTGAAAAATACTTATTTTTAAAATATGAAATAGAACTATAGAAGTTATGAATTTTTACAATGAAATGTGAATATCAATTCAACCAATGATACTTTTGTTATTTACTTAAATAATTTATGATCAAAAATTAAATTAATCATCAATTAAATAATACTAAAACAGACACCAGGAATGACACGTGTCAATTCCCGGTGTAATTTTTCCCTAAAAAAATAAAAAAAAAAACCCTTCCTTTTTTTGCTAAAATCTTATTTGAGAAGTTTGGTATAATATAACTATCACAATACTATCTATCTATATATTATACTAAAAGACAAGCGCCTCAATGTGAGGATGACAAATGTCATTCTCTCATTGGCTTATCTTAAACATAAAATATATCTATATAATTAATGTTTACATGTTCAAGCATAGTTATTTTTGTTAAACTTCAAACAATAAAAGCAAGTTCTATACATGTATAAGATTTTCATAATTTCCTAACATAAATATTGATCTAATTTTTTTTATAATAAATATATACTTTCCAATACTACAAATAATCCATAAAGTCTTTCCAATCTTTATTTATAGTCAAGTTAAAGAGTAATAACTAATTTGAAGCAATATGATTAAAGTGGCATAATTAAGGAACCAAATATTTCGTATTTTGAAAGACTAATATTGTTTTTTTTTTTTTTTATGAAAATCAAATTTATAATCAAGTTAAAGAATAATAACTAATTTGAAGCAATATGATTAAAGTGACATAATTAAGGAAACAAATATTTCGTATTTTGAAAGGCTAATATATATTTTTTTTATGAAAATTAAATAAAATCGATAGAACTTAGTTTGACGTCAATTATGAAATCAATACAAACATTTAAAAAAAATCAGATGTACAATAAAATATTGTGCACCTATTATAAAAGCTACCCTGTAATGAATGAAAGTTACTTATGCTTTATTGATAAAAGTTACCCAAAATAGTCTACAAGTTATCCTAAATTGAATTCAAGTAATCGGTTGAATACAAAAGTTTTTGATAAAGATACAAAATAGTGTAAAAATTACTTTTATCGTTTGTTGTACACCTTGACAAATACTGAATGCTGAGCCGAAATGTTGTCTTGGAATAAAATACATAATCTTGAACAAAAATTTAATTTTAATCGGCCTTTCATTTTCTATACAATGTCTTTTACAATGACCTTTTGTTTTTCTTGCATTAAAAAAAAAAATAAAAAAAATTGAACCAATAACCAATCTAAACAAGAAGAATAAAAGTTAAATTGAATTAGACATTTGACGGAAAAAGGATAGATATAAAATGTATTATAACTATTACTCGTGTTTTAAATTGTAATATTCGTATTAACAATGCTATTACTTATGAATTTTTTTTTAGAAAAACTAACATTTTGATTTAAAAATAGTGCATTGCTCATGTACTATACCAGATATACAACAATCATGTGCAATAATTTATGTTATTTTATACATAATAATACTTTTAACTATAATAATATGTGTATATAATATAATATTTTTTATAATATAAAAAAGTAATATTTTATAACACGTGTCCTCCATACCAAGTGTTTGTTTGTTGGTGTAGTGGTGATTGTGACTACACTTGGTAGGGAGGACCTGTGTTTGCTCCCCTGCAACAACAATCGGAAGGGGATTGGAACCTAATAGCCTAGAACAGATCCTCAAATTTGGATTAGCCCAAAGGGTGAAGCGGATAGAACACCCAAAACTCAATGCATATATGACGGGAATTAACTTATCCAAAATCTATCTTATACAAAACTCCAAAGTCTAAATTTTTTTTCAAAATATAATAATAACATTTGTAAAGTTTTGTTAATATGAAAGATATAAACCTATCAAAATGTATCTATAGTTAAATTGTTTAATAACTTATATCGAATGCGTAGTTTTATTAAAATTATTTGCATGTAATCATTAAATGTGTTGGATGTTGTGTAGCTATGCAATGTCCAAAACTTTAGTTGAGTGACTTTGATTTAGTGATTGTACGGTAAAAAGATATTGACTTCGATCTTGAAACCTAATAGTCTAATAAATTCTAAATAGAAAAATTAAAACAAAAGGAAATGAAAATAGTAAATGGCTATAAATATTGAAATAAGCATAACCTTTTAAATCAATTTAGCGAATTCAAGAGACAATTTTAAGGCTTTTAAAATTAAATGGGGGAAAATATATGTAAAAAGAACATTTTTAGATATATAAATGTCCATGCACTATTATAAGAGTTTTGTTAACCATTTTATAATTAAGGTAGGGATAAATCTTAGTAATATATACTCTGTATATTTTATTTATATAAAATTATCAGTATCCATACCTATATACGAAGTATTTGTGTTGTATACTATATTTAATCAGCTGTTGGTTATATATATGACTATTATATAATATATAGTTTTTGGCACAATGCTTAACTTACGAAAATATATGTTCTGGTAGGTCAAATATAAGGTTATTATTGTGTCTATAGATTGAATGAGTGCGACGGGTAAATAAAACATGTATATATTAGATTGATTGTAGTTACTGATGCGAATGGTATGATAAGAAAATTTTAGTTTTTTCTCAACGGGAGATATAAATAAATTAGTCCACTTCTTATATAGCTATGTGGAGTATTATTCAATTATTTTTCAATTAATAAAATAACATTATAAAAAATTAAAAGAAATTCAAATAACATAAAATACTATTCAAATAACGTTCCTTTAACTTTTTTTTTTATTGACAATTAGTAACCAAGTCCTTTAATAGTAAATGAATTACCTTTGTTTTTATTTTTATTTTTCCTATGGGTTTAATAATTTGATTTATAAATCGTGCATCGCACGGGCACTATGCTAGTTTCAACTATTTTACACATATATTTTATAGTAAATATATTCCTTTTAGTTCCCGCAAAAAAAAAAAAAAAAATCCTAATAGTTATTACTCTCTGTTCTCCATAATTATTACTCTGTATGACAAATATTTAATACATCATAATTTTTTTTCATTTAAAATGATGAATCTATTAAATAATAGATTTATTATTATTATTATTATTATTATTATTATTATTAAATGGGAATTTTGATTTATTTTTTAGTACTTTAATTGGTTTCTCGCCTAATTCTAATACGAATAAACTAATAAAAAAAATGAAGGGAGTTTAATCATGCAAGATAATTGATTAAAATCTTTGTATTTGTATATCCAATACTTTCATATAGTACCATAATTTAAGGAAAAAATTGAATAAATATCAAAATTAGGTTATCATTCCTGCCCATTGTAAGTACATATATTATACAAAGTATAAAAAATTCTTTAAAGCTAATAGCTCAAAAAAAAAAATAAAAAAATAAAATAAAAATAGAGGGTATTTTGTGTCTATGAGCTTTGATGAAAATCCTCCCTACTCAATGAAAGCTTAATGTCGATGAAAATGTAACATATTATGATCATTTATCCTAGCTCTGCTTAATTGATTAACATATGATGATGAATCATAGCACAATGAGACACCAATTTGAATATTTTCCATTTAACATTCTAATACAAATATATGTTCCATTTAACTTTAAGCATGCATGTTTGGTGGAGATGCTAGAAACTGGCCTCTTGACTTTTGGAAAAAGTGTTCCACTATATTGTAAATCAAACCATCTCAACTCTAGTGACGGAGCCAGAATTTCTAAGTGAGGGAGGCCAAGATTATACTACGCATTACATTTACTTAAAAATAAAAAATAAAAAATTTATTATTTACAAGATTTGATCCCTTGACATTTGCATATTATCACATGAAAAAACCAACTTCTCTACACCAAAATTAATAACAATAAAGAGCAAATTTAATTAATATCTTGAGCCAAGGGGGAGGCCAAGCCCCCCCCCCCCAGCCCAGCCCAGCCCACCCCCCTGGCTTCGCCCCTGCTCAACTCATCAATCTTAAAATCATGGAATGCAAACATGTACTACTTTAATAGAGGGTTTTTCTATACCTAGTAATACATACGTGTTGATCTCTATTTAGATTTTTAAACCAACCTAAAATATATTCAAAGTGCTTGTTGCCTTAGCTTACTACCCCCTTCGTCTCAAAAAGTTCTTTGTTGAACGATAACTTTCTCATGAAAAAAGTAGATACTGAAAAAACTTTTAGAGAAAAGGGGAGTATATGATAAGAAATACAGAATAAAATTCAATTGTTTACTCATTGAATTGATAGGCAACATGCGGTGATAAAATGATATAACATTTTCAAGGCAACAACGACACTAAAGATTGTTATTTTCCTTAAAATCAAACTCTACTTGCATAGTAATAAACCTTCATTTGATGAACTAAACATCTTTGTATATCTATGACATACTTTATACCGTATAAAAACAAGGACGTAAGATCTCACACAATAGCAATTCGAATAAATAACAAAATCGGACAACCCAACTTGAACATAATGTAGCATTTGCAAATACTCAACTATACATCTTGCCAAAACACTGAAAACCAAACCAATGTGATGTGGGGAAGAAAAACAGTGGTAATAACAGTGGATAAAAGCACATAATTTGGGACCGCAAAGTGAAGGGACTCCATACTTGAGAAATACAAGTTTGCTTGGAAATTGACCATACCAACAAATTAGTCTTTTTCATAAATTTATCACAAAACATATAATATATGCCCACTTTTATTCATTATAATTGAAAGTGAGAGATTTTTTGGTTGAAATATCATAAAATCATATGCTCATCCTCATCAAAAGAAAAAACCCATTTTGGACCCACAAGAAATCCCTCTAATATAATTTCAACCAATGAGGGGCCTTGTTTAAGGATCAACTTTATAAGCTTAGCCAATTAGGTACAAGATAAGGCTATTTTTGGCTTTTGTTTGGTCCCCAAAAGTGTAATTTTCTCTCACATTCACCCGCCACCTCACTAGTTTTTGTAATCTAACTATTGCGCTTTTCAAACTGTAAAAAGCGCACATATAATTTGGTCCCTACTCTTTACTCCAAAAATAGCCCCTTAAACCCTCCTAAAAGTCTTGCAATTATTGTACACAACACTACCTTCCGCTCCTACTCACGCTATTTGTAGCACAACTACTATTGTTTCTTGTTCTTCCTAAGCTTTTAAAATTTGCATCTCGCACCGAACCCTCAAACACGAAAAAAAAAATATAATTATTAAAATTACGATCATGAGATCAGAGATGGTATCGGATAAAAAAATTGCCAACGCAGTCAGTGGAAAGACTGCGAGGGCGTGTGACTGCTGCATAAGAAAGCGAGCCCGATGGTATTGCCCAGCGGACGATGCTTTCTTGTGCCAATCATGTGATGGGACCGTCCACTCTGCCAACTTATTGGCTCGGAGGCACGAGCGAGTCCGTTTGAAAACGGCCTCGCTCAAGCGAGTACAACGGCTCGATTTGCCTTCGTGGCATCGTGGGTTAACCCGAAAACCTCGGACACCACGCCACGGGAAGCATCAATCGAAATTCGAGGAACGAAACCCGCTTCATGTAATCGTTCCGGAGCTCGGGATGGAGGAAACGACATCATCCCAAGACGGTGAATCGGAGGAGCAGCTTCTCTACCGTGTCCCCATTTACGATCCCTTCGTAACCGATTTCCGTTCCTCACCGACGGTCGATGACATTCGACCGTTGGAGCTCGAGGGAGGATCGGATGTATCAAAGAGCACGATTAGCAATTCGAAACAATCCCCTGATAATTACATGCCATCTGACATGGATCTTGAAGAATTTGCTGCTGATGTCGAGACCTTACTAGGAAAAGGTCTCGATGATGAATTATATGGGATTGAAGAGCTTGGATTATTAGATTGTAGTTCAAGCATTAATAATAACAATATCAATGAGAATTACATTGGTAAAATTGTAAAAGAAGAAGATGAATTATGCGATGAAGGAGAAATGATCAGGGGATATGAGATTGAGGCAGAGAGCAATAATGTAGTGATCAAAGAGCCTCTCGAGCTGAGCTTTGTTTACGACGAACACGATTTCGGTACGACTTGGGAAGACGAAGATGATCATAAAAAGAATATGATGATCGAGCCATCAGTTATAAATGAATCTTTTAAATTCGAAGAAAATGATGAAACAGAGAAAAATAAGACAAGTAACATTTTATTGAGGCTAGATTATGAAGCAATAAGTAACGCATGGGCTAGCTTAGGCTCCCCTTGGATTACCGGACAACGCCCCGAAATTAATCTCGACGATTGTTGGCCTCATTGCACGGTAAATTTTTCAAAATTTAATTCGCGCATTCTTAACAAACTTAGAATTAATGTACAACTAATTTTTATTTTGTACGCAATTACATTTATATTTTTTAGTGTGACCATCTAGTCTTATGGTGACGCGTGTTAGTGTTACACATTGTTAATGTTGTTTATGTTTTAACAGCAGGGAACATGTGGGCTAGATGGAAGTCGTCATCAAATATATGGAGAATATCAAATGGGGGGATTCGTAGGGAATGGAGGAGTCGGGGATGGAGGAAGGGAGGCAAGAGTGTCGCGCTACAGAGAGAAGAGAAGGACAAGGTTGTTCTCAAAGAAAATAAGGTATGAAGTTAGGAAATTGAATGCAGAGAAGAGGCCAAGAATGAAAGGAAGGTTTGTTAAGAGGTCTTCCTTTGCAGCAGCTAATGCAGCCTTTCCTAAGTAGTTCAATATTTTGTTTATATTAGGAAATTTATATAAATGCAAACTTTGTAATTTTGGTTACACTAAAATTATATGGCCATTTTTTTTGTACACTATAGGAATGTAACTATGTAAGTACGAGAGGGACTTTGTATTAGAAGAGAGTCTCGTAATAACTCGATAAGTTTTAGGTTCGAGCTCGAATTAAATTCGAGTAGTATCATACACATTGCTGTTTTGTGTATGGGAGTTGTAGTTGTTAAATGTTAATGTAACAACCGATAAATTCATGAGAAAATTTAAACCATTGAAATTCACATAGGTCAGCTCTAAAGCTGAAATATGTTTATATTGTACTCATTTCGTGCAGAACACTCATTTGACTTAGGTAAAAATTCCATTTAAGGAGATTAAGGCTCCGTTTGTTTTAATCTCAGGTACTAAAACCGTGGGGAAATCATTTTCTTAAAAACGTTTTCCTTCAAAACAGAGGCTTAAACCATTGTAAGTATAATTGTTACAAGCAGAAGCGAGAAATTTCAATCCATTGCATTTTTTTTAAGAAATCAATCCATTGCAATTTGACTCAGGTCAGCAACTCAGCATCTTAAATTCTTAATTAGTACTCCCTTCGTCTTCAAAACTTCACCCTTTTGATTTTGCAGTTATTAAGAAACTTAAATAAAAAGAAATAAAAATATATTGGAAAGATAAATTTAAATGGGGTTTGTAAAAAAATAGATAGATAAATTATTAAAAATACATGAAAAAACAAAATTTTATATAGGAAAGCTAATTTTGCACAAATATTATTGTAAATTGATGTATATTTTAATGCAAATGAATATATATTGGGACTAAAATTAGATCAAAAGGATCAAAGTTTTGGAGACAAAGGGAGTATTTGTACGTTCATTTAATTTAGAGCAGCGTTATATTATTGTCTTAATCACTCACATAGTCACATGTGATTAAAATTTCATCTTGTACAAAAGAAATTAAATTTGATAACTGTTGCCTCTTTTCGTTTTCTCACTTTCCAGTATGTGGGATAAGTAATTAAATAAGGAGTTTGATGAAACATACTCTCATAATCTGTATTTAGAATGCCTTTTTGGATTAACTTCAAATGTCTTAGGACATGTTCACTTTATAATTATTATTTTTGTTTAACTAAAATTATACTAGATTAACCTCGTGGATGCACAGTTTGTTTGAATTTTTTAAATTTTTTTTTTTGTATGTGCTAAAATTTATTACATATTTAGATAAAATTCCTATTATAAAAAGATACTATTTTATATCTAATTAATTAAAACTTAAAAATATCATTCGCCAATTTTGCTTGCGTGGCATTTGAATTATTTAATTGTAAAAGAAATTAATAATCTCTTATTTAATTGGCTACAACTAATATTTACAATTTAACATGGCGTGCTAAGAAAATTAGGTCATACGTGGCGCTAAGAAAATTAGATTTAATGAATTAAAATTATTTTTTCGGTTAAAACTTATTTTTTGGAAAATTTGCCAAGTGTAGCCATTTAAAATTCGTATTTTGCAAACTGCAACCATTTGAAAAAAAAAATTGTAATTGCAGCACAAAAGTTCTAATAAATTGTAAATTGCCATTCAATTCAATTTTTTCATCGATTTGTATGTCAAAAAATGTTTCCTCAAGGATTTAGGGGTTATTTTACCTCTTAAGACCCCTAATTGAGCTCGAAATTTACAAAAAATTAATATAAGTGCCTCGTTTTCAAGGTAAAAAAAAATAGTTGCTCATGAATCCTTACATTTTTATAAGCAAAATGAGGCACTTATATTATTTTTTTTTGTTAATTTTGAGCTTAATTCTGACCCATAAGTTCTAAAATAACCCCTTAGACCACGACGGAATATTTTTCTGCATGTAAATCGGTTAAAAAATTGAATTGGGTGGCAATTTACAATTTCTTAGTACTTTTGGGCTGCAGTTTGCAAAAAAAAAATTTAAATAACTATAATTTACAAAATACAAACTTTAAATGGTTGCAATTGATGACAAAATTGTTAAATATGGAAGAGAAAAAAAAAGAGACGAGGGAAGATTGTTACGTTGTATTTCATATTCCATCTAGTACGGGATATATATAATGTACATTACCTAGGGTTCCATCAATGGATAAGACAAAAAATACCCAACTAACTCTAGAATATTCTAGATTGTACATGGGATAATAGTCATCGATATTTAGATATTATCATAACACTCCCCTTTGGATGACTATATATTGAATAAAACAATAACTAACATTTACTACAAAATCCGTACAAATAATACACTATAATGCGCATAATATGCTGCCTCGTTAAAAACCTTACCAGGAAAACCCAGTGGGAAAAAAAAAAACCATGGTTAAGAAAAAAAGAGTGCAGTGCGCATTAACTCCCCCTTATGACTACATCACTTGAGATCTTTAAGACGACGCAATCCAATGCCGTAAGCTAACTTTTTGAATGTTGTTGTCGGAAGAGCCTTAGTAAATAAGTCTGCTAAATCTCACTTGAACGAATCTGCAATACATTTATATCTCCATTCTTCTGAAGATCTTGAGAGAAGAAAAATTTGGGTAAGATGTGCTTTGTTCTGTCGCCTTTTTTTACGAATCCTTCCTTAAGTTGAGCAATACAAACAGCGTTATCCTCATATAAAGTTGTTGGTGCCTCTTTCCCAGATGATAAATCACAAACTTCTTTTATATGTTGAACTACCGACCTTAACCATACACATTCATGACTAGCCTCGTGAATTGCTAAAATCTCAGAATGATTGGAAGAAGTAGCTGCAATGGTTTGTTTCATGGAACGCCAAGAAATGGCAGTACCACCATATGTGAACACATATCCAGTTTGTGACCGACCATTATGAGGATCAGATAAATAACCTGCATCTGCAAAACCAATCAAATTTTCTTTGGACAACTTTGGAAAAAATAAACCCATATCCTTCGTACCTTGAAGGTAACGAAGTAAATGTTTAATCCCATTCCAATGCCTTCAGGTTGGACATGAACTAAACCTTGCTAATAAATTAACTGAAAATGATATGTCAGGTCGTGTATGATTTGCAAGGAACATTAGTGCTCCAATTGCACTAAGATACGGTACTTCAGGACCAAGAATTTCTTCATCATTTTCCCGAGGTCGGAATGGATCTTTCTCTACTTCAAGTGATCTTACAACCATAGGGCTGCTCAATGGATGTGCTGTATCCAAAGAAAATCTTTTAAGAACCTTTTCTATGTATGTTAATTGATGCACAAGGATTCCATTCTCTAGGTGCTCTATTTGTAACCCCAAGCATAATTTTGTCTTTCCTAGATCTTTCATTTCGAACTCTTTCTTTAAATAATTGATAGTCACTGAAATCTCTTCAGGAGTTCCAATGATATTCAAATCATCAACATACACTGCAATTATAACAAATCCTAATCCAAATTTCTTTATAAAAATACATGGGCTGATAGGATCATTCTTATAACCTTTTTTCAACAAATACTCACTTAGACGGTTATACCACATACGCCCAGATTGTTTCAATCCATAAAGAGATTTGTTTAATTTGATACAGAAATGTTCTCTAGAACTAGATTTTGCTGCTTCTGGCAGTTTGAATCCTTCTGGGAGATTCATGTAAATGTCATTATCCAGTGGGCCATATAAATAAGATGTGACTACATCCATCAAACGTAAGTCAAGTCCTTCTCTTATTGCCAGACTAATAAAAAATCTAAAAGTAGTTGCATCCACCACAGGAGAATATGTCTCCTCATAATCAATACCAGGTCTTTGTGAGAATCCTTGTGCAACTAAGCGTGCCTTATATCTTACAAATTCACCCTTTTCATTTCACTTTCGCACAAAGACCCATTTATATCCCACTGGCTTTACACCTTCAGGTGTACGGACTACAGGTCCGAATACTTCTCTTTTTCCAAGAGATTTTAATTCTGCTTCAATTGCTTCTTTCCATTTTGGCCAATCATTTCTTTGTCTACATTCTTCAATGGATTTTCGGTTCATGATCCTCATTATTATCCATAACATCTAATGCTACATTGCATGCAAAAACATCATCGACGTCGATTTGATTTTGGTTCCATGTAATTCCAGACATGATATAATTTATTGAAATTTCTTCATTATCAGGTACCTGAATTTCTTCTTGTATCATGTCTAAAGTCTCTTCTGGAGATCCTTCGGAAATTGTTTCTTCAATTTGACCATCATCAATCAATGCTTCTTTTCTTTTTCGAGGATTCTTATCTTTGGAACCTATTGGTCTTCCACGTTTCTGACGTGGTTTAGACTCATTAGCAAATTTATTTTGTCCTTCCGGGACAACTATTTTAAATGGAGCATTTACAGCTGGAATATGTGACTTGGTCACTCTTTTTGGGTCAGCAAACGGTTCTGGCAATTGATTCGCTAAACTTTGTAAATGAATTATCTTCTGAACTTCCAGTTCACATTGTTTAGTTCGAGGATCAAGATAGGATAATGATAATTCATTCCATTTAATTTCCTTTTCCAGCTCTCTCTTTTCTCCCCCTAATGTTGGGAAAAGTGACTCGTTAAAATGACAATCTGCAAAACGAGCCGTAAATAAATCCCCTGTTGTAGGCTCAAGATATTTAATTATTGACGGGGATTCAAACCCAACATATATCCCAAACCTCCTTTGAGGACCCATCTTAGAGCGTTGTGGTGGAGATATTGGAACATAAACCGCACATCCAAAAATTCTTAGATGGGAAATATTTGGTTCCTGACCATAAACCAATTGTAATGGGGAGAACTTGTTGGCCTAATGCGAATTAGTGCTGCTGCATGTAATATAGCATGTCCCCAAGCAGAAATTAGGAGATTGGATTTCATAAGCAATGGTCTAGCAATTAACTGAATACGCTTTATTAATGACTCTTCCAGACCGTTTTGTGTATGAACATGTGCTACAGGATGTTCAAAATTTATCCCAATGGACATGCAATAATCATTATAAGCTTGAGATGTAAATTCACCATCATTATCAAGCTGAATAGTCTTAATGGGAGTATCTGGAAATTGTGCCTGTAACTTAATCAATTGGGCAAGTAATCTCGCAAACGCCAGGCTACGAGTTGATAACAAAGACACATGTGACCATCTAGTTGATGCATCAATTAAAACCATAAAATATCTAAATGGTCCACATGGGGGATGTATGGGCCCACAAATATCTCCTTGTATACGTTCCAGAAAACTAATTGATTCAAAATTAATTTT